TTGATACTTACATTTTTTTAAGCAAATGCTTAATGGCACTGTTGTGTGTGTTGAAGACTTGACTCATAACTACAGCATGAGAGCACATATTTTTTCCATGTTCATGTTTATTAGTCTGTCCTCTTCTAACAGACTGGCCTTATTTCCACCTTGAACTTTGTTTAACATATTTTATTCTTCTCAAATTCTATCTCAATTTAAGTAGCATGGCCTGAAACATCTTTTTAAACAAAGTGGCTCTCTTGATGTATCTAATCTTGTTGGATTTGGCAATGCATGCCTTCTTTGCTATTCTCTCTCCACAATGTTTGTTTGACTTGTTATTGAATGTCTATTCCCCTAAAACCATCTTTGAACTCATATTTGCTGTAATTCTACATTCATACCACCTTCAAATAATTACGATAATTTTTCATACTGGCATCTTTATTCTGATAATACAAAAAATGCTTAGCTATGACATAAATTTGAATCATATGTCATTTAAGTGTCATTTAAGTAAATAAGCGCTTGCATCTGAAATTGACTAATAGTCAATAGTTGGATAACTCTAAAGAGTATGTTATTTAAGTAAGCGTTTAATTATAACAACCATAAATCTCTGTGGTACATAATCTATCAACAAAAACAGATTGATTAAATCCAATACTGTACGGTCTATAATATAAACGGATAGTTTAGAAAAAGCTATTGTTCTTATCTCAAAGTTATTGACAGTAGAGACACAGTTCAAGTACAGTTCAGTTTCTCAAGATACTTAGAAATATTCTGTACTTGGTAATAGCCCAGTGATAACAGTCAGAAACATTCCATAAATCTTTTCTGAAAACTAATTATTAAAAGCAACTTTGTTGATAAAGAAGCTTATAAAAACCATCACTACTAAATGTAAAGGAATAGATGGTTCAACAGAGGTCAGAGCTCTGTCAGCCTAGCTACCTAACTGAAAAGAAGCCTAAAATTATTATCATTCTCTTTTATCAGTGACATATAATAAACTGGTTTTAGTTTTATGAAAGGCTTTTTTGTATTTTATGAGACTATCTTTCCAGACTCATTTAAATTGTTGCAAATTAGAAGAATGCCATACTCTTTGCTCTCTGCTTTGAAAAACATAGTTGTAAATTATGTCAAGCAGCCAGCGTCTTCTGACTGATGACCCTGTTTTTCAGACGGGCAACATTGTCCAGCCTTGTCCGCATTGATGTTGTAATACTGTCAACAACGCGGTCAAATTCTGTCAGAGTAAACTTCAGATAGTTGCCCTCTTTTGTATTTGCACAACGCAGTGAAAACAATAATAATGGACGTAATCATTTTCATGCGTTTACAACATTCGCTGACAGGCGCCAACTGTAAAGTTATTTTCAGATGCTGTCTGTGTTTTTAATTGTTCTTCCATTATGGTTCAGAAATTGTTTACAGACCCACAGATCCACAAGCAATTATTTAAATTTCGGGTCATCCAGCAGCTGTGCAAGTTCTTAATAACACTATTTACTCCACTTCCAAGACATGCCGACACATTGGAAAATGTCATAAACATGTAAGTCTTTTCTTTGGTTGTTCATCAGTTCCTCTGGCATGTTGGGCTTGTTGGCTAAAGCCCATGATTTACTTCCTTTTCACCAATATTTCGCATACTAATCTGAAAAGGACTGTCATCCCACAAGACTTCGGTGGGTTAAGAATGAGTGTTTGTGCGCATGTCTAAACATTTCCTTGTGCATGTATTTGACTCTCCTGGCTCCACAAATTCCCTGACCCCAGATGGAGAACAGTGGGTGAGCAGATTCTATTTCCTGCTTGATTCAATATTAATAGATTGGTGTGCTCCTCTGCCGTGCTCTTCTCTGAGTAAAAAAACATTAGTCTGTTGCCTCCCATCCTCTCTGCTCTTGGCTCTCGGCCAAACGACTGCTCATGTGGGATGTGAGGCCTTGTGAATGTCAGGGCACAAAAAGGATGCAAGATTTGTAAGGAAAACTTAATAATCTGAGTAATTCAAGAAGGTTTCAAAGGACAGGAGTATGGATCTGCTGCCATATCACAATTCACAACTAAAAGATATGTGATACAATGAAAGCCATCTGGGATTGAACCAGTTGCAAAGCCTGTTGGTGTCATGTATATTGAGAATCTCCAATTATGTAATCTAATTTTGAATTGCTCATGATTTGCACTGCTGTGGAAGTGTGCAAGAACTTCTATTTTTCTTCAAAGACAGTGGGAGTTATCTAATAATTGCATTAAAGTTTTATGACATTTATGGTTTGTAAAAACCGTGGCAGATCATTTTAAGAATGATAAGGGGTTCTTCAAAAAAAGCACCCCAAACTGGACAAAAGCAAGAAATGATACAAAGAGGATCAGCTGTTGTTTAGTAGATTTAACTTTACTTTATAGAGCTTTACAAGGGTTTTCTTGGATGTTGAGATTGAAAAACACCGGCCATTTGTCTCCAACATGACACAAATAGTTTTTAAAGCGCCTTTTACTTTAAGACTAGATAGAAAAATATTTAGTTGGTAAACCATTAGGCCTCAAGCAATAGTAACCTCATAGTAGAATGAAAACATGCTGCTCACCTAGTCAATCAAAAAACAATGCTGGCCAAGCACATACCATTATATAGTGTGTGTGTGGGACAGGCAGGTCAACAAGTTCTATACATTACTGGATCTCTATTTTAGCTGCTGAGCAAGGACTGTTACAGTGTGAAAGTAGACCTGCTGGCTATAAATGCAATCATGCAGAGTGAGGCAGTTACGATTAAAATGTTAACAGCTGATAAGCAGAGAAGAACCTCGTGAAGAAACAGATGAAAAGAGACATTCATTCTCAGCATTCTGAAACAGGAGGGGGCATCCTAAGTCACAGAAAAATCTCATGTGACCGACACTCGCCTTTTCCTGTGGACTACTGAAGATCATGTTGGTGATGCGAGTGTTTTCCCTTTATGCCTATCTGGAGTCAAACTAGAGCTGGTGAAACGCGAAGTCAAGCTGGTCGTCTTGAGCCATCGACTTTCACAGATATCAGAAATATGGCTTGGAGCGGAGGGAGGACGCGGTCGTTTTATCGACCACTACATCATTTCATTTAAGATATTGACTATTTGTAACCCATGGACTTAAAGGCACAGAAAGGTACAGTCTAAGATAATATTTTTTTTGTTGAAAATGGCACTGAGACGTCGCTACACCGTATTTTTAGACGACGATGGTGGTTAATTAAAGTAAACCGCGTCTATGCAATTGCCCAAACATCAGCCACATTCGCTCCGTGTTGTCTTCCCCATTTGGTTGTACGCTTTAATGGTACATACGGTTTTTTAAAACACGTTTTGATTCGCATTTTAACACTGTGTATACAAGGTGCAACATTTCTCCACCAAGGCTGCACTGTTAAGCCGCAGGCCTGCTAAAAAGATCAAGGCATATTCCCACTATGCCAACGTAGCGTTGTTAGCTTAGCGTCACGCTAACGGGAGCTAACCAAATCAAGCTCTTTCTTGCCTTATTTCACTCAGCCTTCTAAACAAAAAAAAATGTTATAACCGCCTGGTAACATTTGACTTATCCGTGGTTTAATTTCTTAAAATTCAGGCAAATTGAGACCTGACGCGACAACAGAAAGCCCTTCTGGAAGACCAGAAGTACAGTGCAACATGGTTGAAGAAGACCAAAGTTCCGTTATGTTAGTTTAGTTAACTAACATAACGATTTATGAATGTTATGCAATTCACCTTGGCTTTTCACAGCATAAATGTACTTCGTCTATTTTATTGTATGTTACCTAAATCACTCAAATTTCATGACTTTAAAGTAGATGAGGTTTCCCTATCTTTAAGGTGGCCTGTAATACAACTCCAAGAAACCATGCAGATTAAACGAATAACGGTGTATGGGGAGATAAGCAAATCGCGCACAGTTCCTTTAGCTTAAACCACTTTGAACTTTACCATTAACCTCGTTGACCGTTTTAGTGTTGAGTCTCATGTTTCTGCAATCTAAATTACCACATACTGTTAGATAGCCTTAATCTACAAATCCTAAATTAATCCTCTGTTTAAACAGTGGTATCTACCGTCTATTTTTAATGCTGTAGCATTAGCCTTGCATATAAATGGGTTGTGTTATGTGCTGTTAAATTGTTCAAACTCGGTTTAGTAAAAATTTCAAGTCTGTTATCAGCAGATAGTTGCACTATCTGACTGTTTACCAAATATTTATATTCTGTTTATATAGTTTACTTGATAGGTTTGGTCTCATGTGATAAAGTCCACATGGTGTCAGCACTACTTACTGTAAGGATGGAGCTTGGATTCCTATCACATATAGCCACATATGGATTATTGACATTTAAAAGCATTGTTTTTGTAGATACAATAAAGTATTTTAAGTGCTCAGCTTGGCTTTGATACGCCTGCACAACAATGGCTCTGAAGTCTTTCATCTACATTTTCCCACAGTAGTTCTCAAAATGAACACAGTTAGAATCAATAGTTAGTTTGGTAGCCTGGGCATGGTTGTTAGCATATGATTTCATATGCATACAACTGGCACAGTTGTATACAGAATATCATGCCTGTAGCTCCTCGATTGAGATTAACAGGTATGAAGTGCACCAAACTGAGCAATGTTTTTATGCCACTGTTATCAAGATTAACTGAGCCGATGCCCTTTTATCATGCAGTTGTCATGCTTGTCTTAAAATTGTGTGAACAATCTTGTTTTTTAGAGATGTGTTTGTGTTTGAATGACTGATAAGTAGCAGTACCTCATATAATGAAACCACATTCTACCAACCACCTATGTACCAAAAATCTTTGCCCTGGCTTCCTCAGCTACCAGTGAGGGTTTTTAACACCGCTCTGTTAGTTTTGTCAGTATCCGCTGCTGACAGATTCATTTTCCTTTCCAGACGTTGAAATGAAAAATCCCCATTTATTATTCCAGGTGATGACCAGAAAGGTACCATGTGAATGACTGAAGACCATGAAGGCCACACACAAGCTGCTGTTTGTCCTGTGTCCCGTACTGGTTCTGGCCTCTATTTACTACTCTTCCTGGAAGCTACACCTGCACGTATGGGGCCAGAAGCCTCGTAAGTCACGTTTCCTGTCTGACTAACTGATTCATTATTTATCTTATCATCCATTTGTCTTAGTATTTTTTAAGCCATATTTTGTTTGTGTTTTTCTTTGTTTTTTTATATTTGCGATGGTCTGCTACAGTGTTGTTTTCATCCTGTTTTGTTTAACACGGGTGAACAGGTGGCATGTTTTTTGTTTTTTAAAAATGTTTTAACATCTTTGTGTTTCTGAAATGAAATTAGACAATTATTTATTTAGCTGGAGGTCCTGATCCTGCTGGGAAGGTGTCATTAGATTTTTCTGCAATATTTACACCATTGGTTATCTCACAGATTAAAAATTGTTGAAAGAAGTCACCTAGGTAATAACTCAGCTGTTGTAAAGAGTTGTTGTGTAAAGACAAAAATGTCTTTAAAACAACGTTTTTATGTATTTGTTTTCTTCATTGTATATAGAAATTAAGAGGAAATTGTTTCTAGTGGTGTTTATGACACTAGAAAACCTACCATTAGAAAATACTGAGATACATCTTTTAATATCCACCTAAACCCCCTTTGTATTTCTCTGATGCTGATGACTCAGGGTGATTTCCTCATCAGTGTTTTTTCTTGAGATTAAATTAAAAGAAAATGTTAAATACAACTCTAGATGTACTTAGCCAAGTAAGAAAAGTTCCTAAGGCCAGCAGAGGGGGCCAGAAGATCTCTCTTTGACTTTGAAAAAAAAAACTGACTGGTCAGGAAGCTCTGTCTGGTAGAAGAGACACAAATGATAGAATGTTAGAGTAATAGCTGAACTAAAAGTTTGGAAACTATGAAATGCAAAAATCATTAAATAATCCCAACCAAACTGTTTGCTTTACATTGGATTCAAACAGTGTGAGCTCAATGTATTCTATATTGTTACATCCTCAACTTTTTAAAAAGTTAATCTTTCTCTAAACTTGTTTTGTGAAGGAGCATTCAGGATCCCTTTATGAAGAAATTAATTCTGTTCTTTCTCGACCAATAACTGAACTAGACATCCAAAGTGTTTTAAGCAACAAGCCTAAATGCTGGGCTCTGTAATGAAATGGCTGAAATTCTGTACAGTTTGGTTTAGTTTCCTCACAGCCACCCTTCTCTTCAAATGGCTAAAAAGGTAAAGCTTTTTACAGATCCAAATCTTCTTGGATTGTGATAGAGGCCTAAAAAAAATAAATACTGAAGTATGTTAACAAATATACTCTATGACAGAAGAATGTGACTTCTATCATGCAGTTTATAGCCGATTTGAAGTTATAGTACTCTTTAAATATCTTTTATTTTTAGTTCTATACCAGCTTTTGCTGATTTTGGTTTTATTTACTGAGGAGCAATGTAATAGAGCTGAAGATAGAATTACTTTTAATCACCCTTTAAGGTTAAGGATTTATCTAGTGTCTATCCACACAGCCTGAACATTCATTATTACTTTATTTACCATGTATGAAATCTTTACATTGCACCTAACTAAAAATGGTTAATGTATCATAATTATTCTAACGCGTTACTGTTCTTTTGCATAACTTTCTTTACGATAACAGACTATGTGTTTGAAATATTTTCCAGTTTGTCAATAACATTGACGGGCATGATGTTAATAAACCCCAGGGTTTATTCTTTTCCTGACACACAGCAGCACGAAAAACGGGAAGAGGTTTGCGTTTCGTGAAAACTATTGGCTTTCTACAGGGTCGTGGGACCAGATGTTGGCTTAAACAAAAGGGAAACGAAAGGGAAGCAGAACATGTTGACAGCATCTCCTGCTCTCTGTTTGGGTCACTTAAGCTGTGCTGTCTAACTGAACAGATTAAATCTGCGCAATGTCTTTTCATTTATGATATATGTTGGATGGACTCAACCATCCGGGGATCAGTGGAATGTATAGACTTATGGCCTGGTCAATATATGCTGCATGTTGAAGATCTTATTAGACATCGCTGTTTGTTCAGAAAAGCTGTCATGCTGTCATACTTGTATTTGGTGCTTTTGTCTGCCGGGTTTGCTATATGCAAGGATACCCGATGGTCTCCACTTCCAGGATGTTAGTCCCCATCTGCCTTTTTCCTTTTCCGATCCTGTTATGTGATCTATCCGGCGCCGTCTAGCTGACCTGTTGTCAGTAACAAGATCAGAGCTGCATCTCATTTGAGCCCTGCTCTGTGCCTTATCTGTTTTTTGTTGGACATTTGGCTATCAACCTGTAGCAGCTGTGGGAATGGCTTTCTGCTGCCACTTGTTTCGCACTGCTACAGTCCCCTCCAAAATATTGGAACAGCAAGGCAAATGTTTGTTTTTGTTGTTCACCGGAGATCAAAAGATGAGCACAAGGCAGTAGAGGCCAAAGTGTGGGAAAATAAATTATCTGAAATGTACAACTTCATCTGTGATGCATGGCAGAGTTAATGTCATAGCTTGGGCTTAATGGGCAGCTTCTGGAACATGAATATTTATTGTCGATGAGAATGGAAGCGTACTGAAAGATTTTGTCTGGCAATTTATGGAGAAATGCATCAAATCTAATCAGGAGGAATTATATAATTCAGAAGGACAATGACCTAAAGCACACTGGCAACAAAACAAAGGACTTCATTGGGAGGAAAAAGTGGAAGATTTTAGACTTGTCAAGTCAATCACCTGACCGGTGTAATACAAACGATTACATATCCTAAATTGTTAACGCATCAAGATGTAAATACTAGAGAATAAAATCAGAAATTATTAACTTTAGTCTCATTATAACCTTTTGACCTTAAACCCAGATGTCTTCAGTGAACAAAAAAAGCGAATTTACCTTGATGTTATGATACTTTTGGAATAGCACGGTATACCTTTGCAACGAAACTACTCGGCTAATGTACAACCTTCTTTCAACATGTGGACAATAGCTTAGTGTTTTAAAGTTAGTTTTCTTTTCTCTTTATAACAGTTACACTTTAAAGTGACACCTTCACAACGAAAATGTCTACAGATGTGCTGTAAACCCTTAGTTTATTTATTGATTGATTTGCTTCCATAAATCAACATTTAACCTTTAACTCGTTCATTTCTAGTTTGACCAAGTCCTGAGATCAAATCTGCAGTGGCTCATGAAAATCTAAATCTAAATACAGGTTTTATATACACAGGTATGTATTGGCCTTTTTCTTAGCTGCTCACATTTGTGAAAACCTCTCAAACTTATTAGCTTCTCATGGAGGGTGCCCTAAATATTCTTGACCCCAGGTTGGTTTTCAGCATTGGGGATCACCTTCACGTCTCACAGCTGTAGTGATCCGCCTATACAGTTTCAGCTGGAACCGTGGAAGTTTACTAATTGGGAAATAGGATACAGCAGAGCTCTCTCAGGAGGGGTTTGTATTCTGCCTGTTATACAAAGGAACATGTATGTTGGACATTTTATTCGTTACAGAATTTTGTGACGTCTTCTTGTCGCAAAACTTATTTTTCCTTTAGCAGCTGCACAGAGGCATATCTTTGCCATGTGTCATGTCTGATAATTGGTATCGATGAGAAATGGCTTCACAGCTATTCTTTGGTGGCTTTTATTGAAATAATTTCTTTTGTGCTAACTGGAAGGTCCACAGATTTTCCTGTAATCTTTATAAAAATTATGGCAAAAAGCCAAAAATGAAAGGAGTTTTGCCATTGTTTGCAAATTCTAAAACCAAAATCATTGCAAATTTTAGTCATTGTTATTAATTACAGGTTTTCTATACTATCACAGATTAGAATTAATTCATATGGAAGACATGGAGAATTTATCAATGCTTCTGCTTTATTTTTGTTAGCTTTTTTTGTGTATGAATGTGTTGTTGTGCAGCAACTATCTATTATTCTCAAGCTGATATGACTCCTTTTTGTTGAGATAACAGTTGCTTCCACAGCTGTACACTAATGACGATCTTAAGTCGGTGATGACCCCCTTTTGTTTACAGAGAAAGATGCAGAAGAGTCAACAGTAGTCCAGACTAAGGTTGCTGAAGTGAAAAGAATCGCAGGTAGAGGCACTGGGACTCTGCCCACATTGTGAAACGAGTGGCTTAATTGCTAAGGGCCTTCCTCCCTACTTCTCCGTCTCCTCTGGCACATATCTATCACAGCACTGAAAGCTTTCATGATCATTTATCTCCCTTTTTTAATTTGTTTGTTTATGTTAGTGTTAATGTCAACGCTTATCCCCTCATCCAGTCTTTGTGGGTCCTTCTCCATAACCTATGTAATAACAATCACAAACACAAAACAGGCTTCTTGCAGTTAACTTTCTACTTCATTGAGGCTTTCAGTTTTGGACAGAAGAATGCTACTTAGAATTTTAATTCAACCTCTTGGGATTAAAGCAACTAACCAATTTTTATTCCCTCTCTTTTTTCCTTCCCATTGAAAGAGAATATTTGTGCACTAAATCCAATTCTGCCACAACAGACGTACCTCAAATGGTGCTAAATAACACTTTTGTGTTTCAGAGATGGAAACGGACATCACCGTTGGACGAATAGTAGGCTCAGGTACATCTGCAGCCCCACCAGTCAAATTCCTGCGCACTCTTTTGCTTCTTTTAAGACACTTAAACATTTGGATTGATGAGTAGTTTATTCTAGGTTATTAGTTCTTCCAATCATTCAGTCAGATCTGTTCTGAAAAGCTGCGTATTTGAATAGTTTTGTGTGAAAAATGAAACTGGGTAATGAAACTAGAAGAGGAATTAACACCTTGCCAGTCAACATCCTCCATATGCAGCTCCGTTGTACTACAACACTGCCCTCTGTTGTTCTAGTCAGGCAACATGTGCCAGTGAAGTGGTCCACAGGAGTTTTGGAGCTCTATTCTGTAAAAGAGCTTTTTAGGAGCAACAAGAGTGTTGCAGCGTAAACCTGCAGGATCCTTTTCTTCCAAGCTGCCTCGTCTTTCCCTTGGCTGCTTTATGCTCCCTAACTTAATGCACACAAACACGATCACTCGCCTTGCTCCTTGCAAGTTGCCATCCTCCGAGGCAGTGCTTGGATCCTGCCCTGCTCAGTTGTCTCACATTCCCATTGTCTTTTTCTTTTATCTTTGTTCTCCAGCTTCTCTTTGAAGACAAGATCCACAACTACAGGAGTAATACTGCACTGTTCCTGCTTTCAACTAATGCTCATGTTAAAGCCAGTCCTCACATTATTCTACTGACAGAAATTAATTGACTTGGATATCTTTATTGAAAAATGGAATACTGAAGTCAAATCTCCAAATGGCACATTTTGAAATAAACTTTTAATTTCCAATAATTTCCTCCTGGTTTTCTGTGCTCCTCTGTCTTCTACCTCTATGCTTCACCAGGCACCTATTGGTTGTCCATAGGTGATCTCTAACTTATTTTCTAACATTTTTTTTTGTTGTCTTATTTGTTTTTTTTATCTCAACAGATTGTTTTGACCAGCTTCTCCCTAACCTTGCCTGTTTGTCACAAATACTTAATGCTTTTACGTTTCTCATGTTGTTTTTCTTTTGAAAGCAACACATCATGTACAACTACAGCTGATAGTCACAGGGCTGGTAGTTGGAAAAAATATAGACTGGATTACAATGAAATGTCTTCACCAAAGATGTTGTATTTATCATCCATGTGCTTTGTAGACTCATTGCTATTTCTGTTCTACTTTATTTTCCAGTTTACGATAAGCAGGGCTTTCTGCTCCAGCTGGACACAAAACTGTGAGTAAATGCATGTATATCTGAACAAAGGAAATTAAAATTCCATCCAATACTTCACTGTGTGCTGCTTTGGATATTTTTATATTAAGGACAAGTTAGTTGACAGTCAATAACATGAGTTCACATCTGTTTTCATGAAACAACTTTTTAGTAATATTTTGAGAAGGAATATAATGTAAACATTGGCCCAATAAATCTAATTTGATGTATTCTTCTTTCAAACAAACTTTGATTGTCACATACATGTGAGGACAGTTTAAAATATATGACAGGCGGTCTGTGGTCTACTTCGAGTAATTTGTGTGAATGGAGAAATTATTAATGTTTGCCATTGTTTGTCAGTTTGAGGACACAGCTGAGTAGATCTTCATACCGTGTCATTTTGTCATCATGTCAATTCAAATGTGTATAATACCCTGTATTGGTTAGACACTGCAGCTGTAAACTGCCAACAGAAGCTCCATAGTCCACTTTTTCACTGTCATGCGGGCAGATATGCTGCTCAGCATCTTACAGTGTCTGTCCACACAGAAATTAGTTTGTGACATCAGTAATTTAATCCTGCTGCTAGTCTGAACAATGAAAAAGCACCTCCCAAATATCTTTCACTCAAATTCCTCTTGGGCATAGGCCAAGCTCTGGAAGTGTAGCTTTGAGTAGGACTGTAAGATAGTATTTGAGCATAGCAGGGCTTCAAATGATGTGAAAACATGCTCAAAGTAGGCTGTTTCTGCTGCCAGCTTTGCTTTTGGACCTCACATAGTGAAAGATCTTGGCCCTTCTGCCTCCACCCTGTTTATTTGAACTAGAATCCTGGTGTACATCAGATTATTAATGATCACGGTAGTAATCGGGAGGTTCTAGACTTAGCACTGCTGGTGTGATTTATTTAAACAAAGTCTCTTCACTTTGTCTTGCCACACACGACTGATACACATAGCTGTTGCTGACTTCTTCAACTTGCTAAGCAGTCCACAGCCCTCCTTCTCCAAGCGGTTGTTTGAAAAGCTAGCTTTTTTGAGCTTTTGTATTATTCAGGACAACTGATCGTCCATTATATTGATGTGTCTGATTAATGCCCCACTATGTTTCTGTTCATGTGTAGGTCACTGGAGTTGACATACAAATATGGCAACCTCAGCAAAGACGAGTGCAAGCCAGGATATGTAAAAGCCAAGATGAGCTCCATCTATCCTAAGTAAGAAGTGCTTTTGCACATAATTTCATACCAGAAATACTATACATATAGAATAGGGTTGGCAAACTCATTCCAAGATCCCATAAAGAATTTAGCATGTTGGTTCCTTAAAAATATTTGTAATTTGTTAACTGGGGAGAAGAGCTTACTTGAGCATACCAAGATGCATGATGTCACTTTTTAGGCTGACTAGGCCTTAAGGGTTTTTAGTCACATATAAAGAACCCTCCACATTCCTGTCCAATCTTGGTTTCAATCGTGTTTTTATCGTTTTTTCTCCCACCACAAAAACTCAACTGTGTCCTTGTAATCCCCCTGTTACACAATAGAACATTTGTCACCCGAGCACAAGGTCTCGCATCTCTTCCTTGTCGCATCATAGAGCCTTCAGAGGCCTTCTCGATGGGTGACACCAACTTCCTGTCCTGAGTAATCATGAGATCTCTGGTACGCGGCCCACGCAGTCCAAACAATCCTCCACGGCCATCTTGATGTCATTGGTTCTTTTGATTTTTTTCCCCCCCATCCCTTCATCTGGGCCTCCTTTTGCCACTATTCTCGCCTTGATCTGAAGAACATTGTCCTATTAGCAATCTTAAAGCTAAGCGGAATCAATTTTCCGCATTGATGAACAACAGCCTCTGGCACTTTAAAGAGTACTTGACCTAGTTGTGATTCAGATTCAACTGTCCCATTTTTTAGCAGCAGTGGTAAACTGTGCCCCTGAAGGTGAACAAAACTAAGAAACACAAGGGCTTTGATTAAGTGTGAGAATGTAATTTAGTGGTTAAATGATGAATGCATAATTTTCTAAAATATTTAAAAAAAATTCAAAATGTTTTGATACACACTTTTTGGATTTTTGCCTTTTATTTGACTGAAGTTTTTGGAAATAATAGGAACAAGGGCATGGAGAGAAGCTTTAGCTGCAGCCAAAGCTGCTAAAGTAAATGTGAGACAAGCAAACCCTGATTCTTCTTGACTGAAGCCACTTTAGCATGCATCGTCTTACCCAGTACCCTATTTCTAACTTCTCTAAAATGATATGTTAAAACACATTGAAATCGGCTTTTATCAGATACATGTTGTGTCACACCTACATTATCTAAAATACTTATTCAATGGCTGAACTAAAACTGTTTTGTCCTTACCCTCTGCAGTTTCATTGCACAAAATAAATAAAAATGAGCAAAAAGCTTCGGTGGAAATGACACTTTACCTATATTAGAGGCTATGCGTTAATTGTTTTTCTAATCAGCAGTGTTTGATTGTGTTGTGGGCCATATAGAACTTTGATCAGAGTTCCACTAATATTAACCACTTTCAACCTAGTCAATGATAGATCGGTGTTTTATTCTTTTCAGTTAATTAATACTTTGCTATATGTCAGTTTTTTTTTTTTTTAAATCATTTTGAGTGGACACAGTCATGCCGTATGGTTATGATGCAATTTATTATTGACCTATTTAAAGGAAACAAACCAATGAACATTATTTTTGTTAGCTTTATTTATTCATACCTGCTGTATGCATTTACCTAACAAAACAAATAGATTTGAATTTTTGTGGTATCTTTTTATCCAAACAGGTGTGGCACACAGTTCAGTAGTTAGAGAAAACTACTTAACCTCTGGCAAAGAGGTCCTGTGGCTCCCCTTCTAATCATCTCCTGCTTCCTCTGTGTTTGTCTTCTCGGAAGGCCCGTGCCTTGCAGAGTCCAATTTATTTTACATGCCTCCCTCTACCCTCTGCTTTACCCAAAACTGTTTGTATTGGAGCCCTAAATCAAGAGATGGCAGTGAACTTGAAGTGGCACGGTTATGAAAATATTGCTTGTGAGAGATGGACCCAGTAAAGGAAATGAGCACAATGCATCCCTGCCTCCTAGCTGTTTTGGAAGCCCTCACTTTTTATTTAACATCAAGCAGCCCCTTGTCTCTCTGCATTGTCAGGCTGTCAGCAACTTACTTGGTCAGGGCTCAGTGACTTGTAATGGGCCTTTGTTATTTATTGCCCCTGATGGCCTCAGAAGTCTGAGGTTTAATGAATCCTCATTTGTTTTGGCAGGACAGAAGTCTCTTGAGTATGTATGCTTCTGTCAGATGATGTGAGGAGTAGAGAAAGCCAAACATAAGTGTCTCATTGGAGACTGTTTCTACTCTCATGCTTAAAAAGTGAAGATTAATGAGGGTATGGAGGGTTGCTAACAGTGCTCAGAATACGTTGAACCTTGCCGGAAGGTACACCAGCAGTATCAGCCTTTTTAGTCGTTGTTCTTCAGAGGACCACGTACATCATGCAAGCCCATGGCAGTGTTAGGATAACAAGATATTCATACGTCCTGCTGGGAAACCTCTGTAGCATGTGCGTGTGTCCCTTTTTAATTTCACAGTTTCAGATTTCTTTGCTAGTTAGTGGTCTGGGGACTGTTAGAGCCATAATTTTTGTTTACTGAGAAAGTCTGCAATTACTGCTCAGCTCCAGCTATCAGCCCCTCTGCAGGATGTTGAGGTTTAAATTGTTGGTGGTCCACTTCTGGGTACAAGAAGAGTACCGCAGTCTTTTATTTTTTATTTTTTTTGTCATTTCTGCACATCTTTGAGCACAAGAATTTAATATACACTAACGATCTTGTTTGATTTCTGTAAGACTACGTAGATCTGTTATATGCTTGTTTATAATGTCTGTATCCATTAGGTTCTGTGAATATAAACTTAAAGAAAAAAGAAAAGAAGAGAAAGCTTTCTTTCTTCTGTTCTCCTCTGGCATCCTCTGAGCTATCACAGCAGGTTATGAAAACACACATCCATCCTGAAACTGCACTCGCAGAGGTGGCACTAAGCCCAGAACTCAGGTCACAGGCGTGACTAAAAGGAAATGGATTCTTTTGATTTTGGATCTGCTGTTAATCAAAGCAAACACATCCACACTTCCATAGACAGGATAAGGAAGAGGCGATGTTGGAAGTAGCAGTTCCTGGGGCATTAAAAACATTGGTCACTGGCCTTTTTTTTTTCTTTTTTCTTAAAGATTCTGTTTCCGAATGTGACTTGTCACTGGCTGCTTTCCCCTTCATGGGGAAAACTTATGCCTTTTGTATTTTAGACAGAAACCTTGTCTGTTTTGTTGAGGGACCTGTATCTTGGAGAATAGTGAGAAATGCTTCAATTGGCCTGCATTAGTACATACATTATCAGAGATATCCCATCAAGGGAGGACGTAAAAACAAATGGTTGTACCCCAGGAACGGTGAATACATCAGTTTTATTATGCCACAGAAAGTAACTAAACAGGCTGAATTTATACTTTGGATAACGAAATCTTTCATTTTTTCTTCTTCCCCTTACTTTCCATCTTGCAGGTTCATGAAATCGGCACCAATGTTTCTTGATCGGAACTTCAAGCGACTTGCAAAAGTTAGCAGTTACTTACCCCCATTTGGTTTCAAAACACAAGGTAAATGTTTTTGACAGTTGTCTTCTACTTTGGTGTTTATATTATCTCATCTGCTCATCTTCTTTTCACATTTTTGTCTTTTTTACACTTGTTATTACCCAAAAAATATTTTCTTTGCTTTGCTATTCCATTTTGTTCTGAGTTATGAGAGTGTGAGATGGGTAATCAATCATTTTGTGGCCACCATAAGTTTTTGCCAAGGTTATGTAATCATTCAGTAATAATGCAAGCAGGGAGTGTTTGTAAATTCCTAGGGTTGGTTTATTAATGGACTGTTGGAGATGTCTGAGGCAGTTACTAAACAGTAGCCTTTTTAAATACAAGAAATTACCTCATCTCTTCCTCTCTCCATGCATCCTTGGTTATTGTTTGACTTCTGGGTGAGTTCCAGTGACTGGTTTTGTTTTGGTTCTGACTCCCAGTTGGCAAAACACCTTGATTTTTTTTTTCCAACACTAACACAAGCTCTTATCAAATGTTGTATCTCTCAAGAAAATTGGAAAACATAAAGGTTCCTAATTTAAGCAAACTAGCAGGATTTGTATGATGGAGGTAACTGGTAGCAGAGCAGATCGTCTGAAATCCAGAAAGGTTTCAAACAAATGTTTGACTGTCATCTGATTAATGTGGACTGTATGAAGAGACCCATCAGTATGTTACTCTATGGAAAAACTGAAGGTAAAATGTGTTTTCATAATCCAACAAGGACTTTTTGTGTGAATTGATGAGTTGTCTTTCTATATCAAGTCTTGAATTTTAGTCATGAATACGCAAGCCTCAAGTCCCAGGTTTAAAGCTTTGAATAATAGTCCTTGAGATGTAATGGATTAAGATATTAGGTCTCAGCGGTTTCTCCAGAAAGTTATTGTAGAGCTTTGAAAAAACTTGTTTGCTTCATATCAAGGCGTATCACGGGGGAAGTTTGAGATTAGATAGCAACACACATAAAACAACAGCCTAGTGCCCAATAACCATGGAAAATAAAATTGACCTTGATGCATTATCTGTTACTTTGTTTGACTTTTACCTCACTCGGATTGTTTATGGTGTTTGACTTTCATTCAGAAGTCATTTAATCAGTTGGGGATGTTTTTATTATCCCAAAGCAGACTTATTATTCTTATTCTTGCTTATTCAAGCTTATTCTTACGAAGGATTCAGAGCTAATGGTAATTGTTTTGTTTTTTTTATCAAATCAAAATGACTAAAATAAAAAAAATTTTTACCCTTTTATTGTACAATGACTGAACAGTAAATCAAACTTGAAACAGTTTAATAGGACGTTCATAGCCAAACAAACATTTTTAGAAATCAGTATCTGAAGGCTTTTGTTCTTCAAGCCTGGATGAAAGAGAAATGTATACAGACATTTACAAAAAACCCAGTGAATGGTTTTAAATAGTTTTTATGTTTGTTCTATTGGATCATTTACTGCAAAGGGGTTTTTAGAACGGCCAGGATTAAAGCTGAAATAATACGTTTGAACTTTTCCCCATACTTTAAATGACCTCTGCCTTTCTTTAATTAGATGTACAATCGCAGATTGATTAGTTCTACTTAAATGACTTGGCAGGGATATTGATCATCTTTGTGATTTGTGCTCTCACATTGGCGACATTCTTTTTCCATTTCTGTCTTATATCCTTCCTGCCTTGACCGCAACAACTGCTTTAACATTCCTTAGCAACCTTAGCACTCAGTCACACCCTTACTCACTCACCCAAATGCACACAGACACACACACACAAACATATGTAGATTCAGTAATCTGTTTTACTGTTTAACTAAACAGTTTGATAACTGGTGTCATTTCACCACTAAGTAAGATCTCCACATCAAACCATGAAAAAACATGCATTGTGCAGTTTAGCCTACTTGTAGAATTCAGTGACATTACAGGGCAGTTATTGTCACTAGACAGCATCCAAGGTATTTAAGTGATTAATTTATTTTCAAACCACTTGTGGTTCAGCAAAGGGCCATTTGCCTGGTACTTGAGGACAGCTAAATGAGGGAATCGACTACGATTAAATAAATGTCCAGGGAAAGTCACAAGTCATTTAAACGCAAGTAGAGCTACAGATCTTGTTCATCGAGTCAAATGTAAAGTCATCACTTTTCTGGCTCTAATTTGACTCAGGTCAGAAACATGTGAGCTCTGAATAAGTTATTGATCAATAGCTGCTCATTTAATGAAAAGAACTGGAATTGATTTTCGTGTTTTTGTATTGCTGGCACTGTTGTATATTTGAAGAACACTTCTAAAAACTAGTTAATTTTGCTTTTCCAATCAATGGATATATACTAATTTCTCTTTTACGAGTTTATAATATTTTATCATTATTAAACTTTATGCATTGTAAATGCTTCTTTTGTCTTAACCTTGTTTGTTGGATGAGTGGAGCACTTAATGTTCGCCAATCTCAAGACAGTAATACATAAGCATGCAGTGTTTACGCTTGTTCCCTAACTTCAACACACCCTAGCAGTTCAGATATCGAACCAGTACAGAGCACCATGGAAACAGAGGAGATAACGTTAATCTCCTTCACATTTTTCCAATACTTACAAGCAGACGGTACAGTGATTGTCACCTTTGTGCTCTCCCAAGTTCTGTTCTATCATCTGAACAAATGCATCCTCATACACAGACTTTATCAAAAGAGCAGTCCTTGTGTGAGTGTTACACCTGGTTTCTGTTTTCTCCACGGATTGTGATGGCAGTGGGTTTTTCCTTTGAGTGGTACTCAAGCATAGAGATGATACGTGTGGATCCTGAATAGAACACCACAAAGGATTCCAAATTGAGAGCTTGGGGAGGTGATGGTGGGTGGGTATTTTATTTTTACTTTTTTTATTCTGCCAAGAAGCATCTTTGGAACACATCAGCCACTGCCAGAGAATGGTTATGCTGGATTCAATTTAGTCTCAGAGGAACTTTTTTTGTGCTAAAATTGGTTCTGTTTAGTGCAAGTTTTCCCTGGCCTCCACCCACTTTTTTGGAACATTTAGGAAGAGAAAGTACAGGGTTTTTATTTTAATTTTTCATGTTGAGTGCAGTTTGGGTCAGGGTTTGTTAGACTTGTGTTTGAAAAAATACTTTTCTTGTTGGTAATGGAAACCTGCACATGTGGTTTCTAAATTTACACTCAAAATCAAATAGTTTTAAAAAAAAAAGTATTTAATTAACAAATACTTCGTCATTTTATTCATTACATAACCTTTCTGACATGGATCCTTAAAAAGTGACTTCTTCTTTAGATGACCTTTCGGTGGTAGGCAATACAAAAGCAAAAATGTAGGGATACCCTTCAACTTTTCCAATCAAGAGCCCCGAAGGTCTTTTATGTTTTTGTTGAAAAGAAAAATATCATCAAAGAATTCTTTATATTGTTTAGATTACACCCTTACCAGCTATGAATGTGTTGGTTTTATGTGATGGTTTTGCTGTTAAGATTTTCACTTCAAAAGTTCTATGCTGGGTTAATGCCTTAGCTTTCTGCCATTAGTCTTTGGCTCCACCAAGAGACATACTTGGCTGAAATGTTTACTTCATTCTTATAACAATTAGCTGCCATGTCATCTTCTGCAATAGAGCGCTGCCCAGTATTATTTTTCACTTCCACTTGCTTGGATCCAGGTGTGGTCCTTGTGTTTATGCTTCTCAGGGTGATGCTTGACGCCAGACATCGACACCACATCCAAACAATGAGCTGTGGCTCTGCCTGTCTCTCCACATCAGGTTAATCCTTTGGACCGTTAGCTGGGGTCAGCGAGCTGTAATGTCTTACAAACAGCTTTAAGTCTCATGTAAACTCTCCTCATCACTCTGCCTTCACTCTTACTTTCTTAGTTTCTCTTGACTCGTCTGCGACTGAGTGCTATGTGGAGATTATATTAAGTGGAGACCACTAAAAATGCCTAAGAAATTTAATAATGTGGTCTAGATTGATTATGTGACATGTAGATGGCAAATAGAGGAGATCAGTTTCTAGGCTAACCTAAAACGTCCTTATATAGTGTTTAAGAATTAACTCAGAGTACAAATGGATCGAGAATGGATGCAGTGCTAATGGAATCTGCTCTTGGGAGTGTCATTGAAGATAAATTATGAGTTTGACAGACCTAAAAATATTCAGGATGATAGGAATTATTTAAAATATCTAATACTGGAAGCATGACTCCATCAGAATGTACTGTAGAGCTCGCCAGGTATGCATGCTATGGCTAAACATCCTCCTTTCTCACCCTGCAGTCAGACAAGTGCGAGCCACACAAGAGGCAAGCTCAACATCGACTACCTAGCCAGGAGAATGTGCTTGTTTGAAAACAGCATTCCTCCCCTAGTACTTTTTATGGGAGAGATCATACATACACATTGAACTCTTTTTATCTACTTCTGTTAGCCTCACTTTGCTGCAGAACATAGCAGCCATTCCCTTTCTCAAGATTCCCATCAACCACAAATTCTGAAGGTGGATTTTTCCCTTATCTGTAACTGAATAAGTGGAGAAAAATGTTCTCCCTCTGTCTTGGGGCCGCTTAAATTGTGATCTCTCAGGCTGTATGCTGAGCGGTCCTTGCCCTTTTTAAAGGTGCTTTCTTTATTTTTCAGTATTTGCTTTTTGTTGGAGAACATCCACTCCTGTATTGTGTGAAATTAACATGCTCAAAGTGACTTAATGACAATTTATGTTTATTTATCATAAGTGTCAAAACATGAATTGCACTAGTCTGGATAGTTTGAGATATTGGCACCAGTGGCCTCATTTAATGACAATAGAAATAGCCTTCTAATATGTTTATACACAAACCAAACTGGGTAATGGAATTCACCCAGTTTTCTTTTCATGAAAATGCTCAATGCATTTTGTGCAACAGCTTCAGATATTCATGTCATTTTCTGTTTTTGCTTCTTTCTCCTCCTACAGAAAAAATAATAGACAACATTTTAAGTGAGACAAAAAATTACGGACTTGGAGAAGAGTTAGACAGGTACTTGTACTCACATTTGTCTATATGAAGTGCCTTTATGTCAGTGTCACTAACTTATGGTTGTCCTTTTCCCCAGTCACGGCTGTAAAAGATGCATCATAGTGGGCAATGGTGGAATCTTGTCCAATAAATCTTTGGGTGTTCGTATAGATGGCTATGATGTTGTTGTGAGGTAAGACGAGGCGGTATAATTGATTGGTTTGTTATTTAAAATGAAAGTACTGCATGCAGGTCCTATCTTATTTGAGAAAACAGACACCCCTCAAAATGGGAGTATCACTAAATGTCAGCATAATTGTAATGGGTAAATTGTGAAAAATGTATGGGTTTCGGAATGTGCCGAAGTCTCCATCTTATTCAAGGGCCTTTGCAAAAATCCCAGCTTGTAAACCTAAAATTGACATTCCGTAACTAAATGAGTTACAACAACATTTGATTTCACTGAGATAAAGTATTTTTTAATTGAATTGAACATTTTTCTTTGCTACGTCTATCCACCCATTTTTCCTGTATATCACATAAAGTCTTGTGATATATGTTTTCTGTGATATGCACATGCATACAAGATTTCCCATGATCATGTCAGAGGACTTTCCGAGTCACTCCTAAAGCTTTGTCTTATATTTTATAACACAGTTTATTATGTATTCGATGTACTCTTGGGATCATTGTCATGTTCTAGAAATATGTGTTTTATAGATTAAACTTTCATGAGTCACATTTGTGTCCATTTAAAAACAACAAAAAATAAAAAAACTTTACCCATTGAATATATCCTGTGATACTGAATTTCCTTTAAGCCTTCTTGTTAACAGTCAGACAAGCATTTGCTGGTACTACAAATCTTTGTGGATTAATTGTTCATTAAAGGTTTAATCGTGGTCTTTGGGAGTGGTCTGTACTTTATCAGTATGGATGACGTGGAACGTTTCTCCCATGTTACTGCAGACTCCCACCTGTTCCTCCTCTTTACTGTGACATGTGACGCAAAGAATTTGCCACTGCAAAAGCACATTGGTCTTGGCTTTAAAAGGTATATGTGTTTAAGAGGGCTTTAAAGTTAGTAAATCCTAGCAGAAAACGATCTGATCGAAGAGGCAGTCCTGTGTTTGAAGAAGGGGCTCTTGTTATAGGTGTCATTGAAAGGGAGCGAACTAGCAACAGATTAATAATTTTCAGTGTAAATCTGTTTAAAAAATAAAAGTACTTCAACTAGTTAAGTAGTTTCTGTAACATGTGAAAGCTGGTTGAACAAAACTTTTTTTTTTGTTTTAGACAGGCCTAACTGCCTTTGGAAAAAAAAAATCTCTACCCACATGTGAGGCATACATGTGAGGTACTCAACAGCTGTTGTTGCTTGTGTTCTCCAAACATATTTTTATCATTGTAGTTTAAAGAGCTTTTATTAGAATATACCTATCCACAGCTCCTATTCTCAAAATCACTTTGTCCCATACAGGTGTTGCTTTGCTAATTTTTAATGCCAATTTATTTGGTGAGATTTTCTATTTTTATCTTTTCCATACAGGCCCCATTCGCTTGTTGACCAAATCTTAGAACATTTATTTCGCATTGTCCTCCAGATGACTGCAATGGTTTCTCAACTTTATATTTAAATTTATTAAATAAATATTTCTTGGTTTTCATCTGAAGAAAATGTATCAAGCTGAATTGGTATGGAGTGAGCCTTTCTTTTAGATACAGAACACATTCCATTTATCTTTATTTTTTGTCTGCAGGTTGAATGAAGCGCCAGTAAGTGGCTATAGCAGAGATGTGGGGACCAAAACCACCATGAGGATTACCTATCCAGAGGGGGCTATCCAAAAACCTGAAAACTATGAAAAAGACTCACTTTTTGTCTTTTCAGCTTTCAAACCACTTGATTTCAAGTGGCTCAGACAGATGGTATACAAGGAAAAACTGGTAAGGAAATAGTTCAATTATCAATGTTGAACTAATGTTGGGCAACATAGTGGTGTGGTGGTTTGTGTGTGTGTGTGTGTCTGTGTGTCTGTCTCTCTGTATGTCTGTGTGTTTGTGTGAGAAAGTTTCTTCGTGGTACTTCCTCCCACTGTCCAAAAACCTATATCCTAGGTTAATTGGACCCTCCAAATTGCCCGTAGGAGTAAATGAGAGTGTGTGTGTTGTTGTTGTTTGTAAATGTGTGACGCTGAGATGGGCTGGCACCTGTACCCCGGCTATCGCCCGTTTGGAATGAGTGGCATAGAAAATGGGTGTATGGAATGAATTAAATTATTATTATTTATTTTTGCTTTATTTCAAGACACAAAATTGTGGTTAATTTAGATATGATGGCTGAGATATGCAGAGCTGTCTAAAGTAACTGGTTAAAAATGAGAGAAGGGTTTGCTGAATAGTCCAGTGTCAGATCCATCTCAGATTTTGGGCTTTCCATTGTATTTTTATTTTTAGGGGTTAAAAAAAAAGTTATAAACACCTGCTAAATAGGGTGGACATTTTAGCTTTTGTAAATGTACTGTTTGCAAAGAACATTTGAAAAAACGACTGGCAAGGTTAAATAATGGTTATGACAAAGGTCAGACTGAAAGCAGAATCATCTTTTCCTTATCGCTCGTATTCGAGCACAGCTGTTCGTCCCCTATATCCACTGTTACCTAAAACACTTTTCATTGGGGTCCTATTGAACTGCCTCTTTGGCTGAGATAATTTTAAGTCATTCGGCACCTGAGCAAAGACATTACATGGTACATGTAATTTTTATAGACCCTTTTATGCAAGTGCATTTTGAACAATTTCCCCAATAACAGACTACACATAAGAGTAGAATCTACAGTATGGAGTTTAGATAAAAACATGGTTGACATATTTCTAAGTAAATCTGAATGTTTTTAGCGATGCCTGTTTTTTCATAATAAGCCCTACAGTTTTAAACTTACTATAGTTTTTAAAAATGAAATATTATTGTCATTATATTTATCAGTTAAAGGTAAGCTGAAGCAGGTGAACCTGGTTGGTTAGTTCAAGCAAGGACATTGGAAATTTTTGTCGCTGTCAGGAGTGTTTTTTCCTCTGGTGGGGATATTAACATTGGATGAATTCCAGGGTCCTTTCAAGTCATCATCTATGTTGGAATATCAATCTAATGGCAACTTAAAATTTTCTTCAATGCAAGTTGAACATATATTATCAAATTATTTGGGGTAAAATATATTCGAACACATTTGCAATTTATTAGCGGAATTTAAGGGAGGGGGGAAAAAAGACCATGTAAAAGTTGGGTAATCCATAACACCTAACAGCTAACCCAGTACATGAAAAACCTCCTGTAGTGGTGCAAGCGTGTCTCTATGATTAGTAATTACACATATAAAGATAATTAAAAAATCCCAAAAAGGATAAGAAGATTAAAGTGGAATGTTTGGCTTCACATATTTAAAGCCATATTTCTGATGTGAGTTGATAACTTTGCGTGCCATATTTAAAAAAGACATGGCACACGAAATTCCATACGTGAATACCTTTCTCTAATTAGTTCCTATAATTCTGTTTAAAGGAACTAAACTTGAATGAGTCTTGAAATGATATTTTGCACTGCCTTGAGCCCTTTTTTTTATTGATTTGTTCCAGGATTCTCCTGTGTAATTAGAAAGCAAAAGAGTGGGAACACAGTTTTACTTTTCCACACAGCTGCGTGACTTTCAGACACCAGCTGCCATCTGGAATTCATACATGGTGGCATTTTTCACAAAAAAAAAAAACATCAGTGAGAAAAACAGTCATTTAAAAAAAACTGTAACATAAGAGGACTGTACAGTTTTAAAAATACATTTAAAAAAGCGATGAATGCAAGCTGAAATCGAGTAACAGTATGACTGGGGATTAAAGGATGAGAAAAAGGATAGAGAGAATTTGGTTAAGAGGATAATGGTTGGGGAAAAGAAAATGAGCAGTGGTGAATAAAAGGTAAGTAAGATGGAGGAAAATAACTTGCTTGGCTGGCTGATGGCCCCATCAGCCTTTGATAGGGCCCAGATTTTCAGACGGAGGGGACAATGAGAATGGCTGCTTGGGATAATTGATCTGGCCTCTGGCGTCGGACTGAAGGCTCCTTTGAACTGCTGAGGAGGGAAGAATGTTTCTCATGGGTTAATAATCAGGGGCCAGTTTCACAAAAGACCCTCATAATTCCAAGTGAAGGTGTCCTTAAATTAAATGGATACGATTTTGACCAACAGCACAGAACTTAAATGGACCTAGACCGTTTCTTTGAACAGAGCTTTAAGATTAAATCAGGACTGTGTCTTGTGCATTTCGTTTGCACGTCCAAGTTGCAGAGTAGATTAGGCAAATGAAGTCCATTGAAGTGTCAGCTATTCCTGAAAGTCTTTGCATGAGTGTGTGGATTGCTTTGCTGGTCACATGGTATGCATGCCAGAATTAATGTTTGGTGTATGTTTATTTATTTTTTCCACTTTATCTCAAGATTCTTTGCTGGATTGGCTTGTTACTTCAGAAACATTCTTTGGTCAAAATGCAGATAAAAAAAACAAAAAAACTGTACCTCTAAATACATAATTAATATGTTAAGTAGCCCAGTTTCTCATTGGCTTAGGCTTATGCTTAAAGGGAGTCTCTTTTGATTATTGAAAATATTGAGTGGTGAAACTTAGCAAACGGCATTGTTTGAAAAGGGCTTAATTTTACAGCCTTAATTTAAAGAATGCATCATTGGAAGAATGGTTTACCAGGAGAGCCCATAAGATACACATAGTTTGCTTTAGCAACTATTAACTGAAAAACAATAGTGTTGGCTGTTTTTTCCCCCAACAATTTAATGTAACTTTTTGCCACTGATGAAAACTTCCTCATGAGTTTGCAGGATTCTTGAGCAAAACTCACGTGGTTTCCTGTTACTGAGTCTCCTTTTGTAATTGGAAATCAGGTGATTTGTGCAGGTGGACAAAATGAATTTAACAATCGTAATGAGCTTTAAGCACATGTGCGCTGGTCTGGAATCAATATGGAGGAGTCCTGATATTGGTTTGCCCTTTCTGTAGATGAAGAAATGAGCAATGATTGATGCTCATTGGCTAAGTTTACTCTGCCTCAATTTGCCTAGTTCAGACCCATTGTTTTGTTCCTCTGCGGCTCCTCTGAAGTTCAGTCAGCCATGGCGTTGTACAGACATGTGAGAAAGATTCCATTGTGAGGTCTTTTCAAGTCCTGGACACTGCAGGGTTTAGTACCTTTTAGGAGTCAAAGGTTTATCAACAGTTGTGGAGTGAACGCTGCTCCATTTGTTACTTTGCTTGTTGGTTTTGTTGCGGGGCAGCATTACAAAACAGGAGAAAACTCCCTGGCTTTTCTTTTAGCAAACATGTATCGGGAGTATTTCTTACCATTTAGTTTTTATGTAAGAGGTGTATATTTATATTCCTTCATTATTGATTTAGCATGCAAGTGTCTGTGCAAGTATCATTAAAGTTCCAGGAGGTAATGCAGAAATGATTACGTTTCCAGGGCAGCAATATCTGTTTTCCAATGGATTTTCATTCTTGGCAACGACATGAAAAGACCTGTTATTCCTTTTAAAAGACTAGTAGCCTGTATTCATTGTATCTCACTTAGATTTGGCAACGACTAAAGCAGTGAAATTACAAAGGAAGTTCCTTTGTGCTTCTAAATGGGCCTTTTGAAAATATTTGGATCTTTTTTACCCAAAACACTTACTCATGATACCATATACCGTAGTTAAAATTCTATCTATTGCTTTTTGATATGTTTAATTTAGGACAGGATTTAAACCAATAAAAGCGAATCATTTCAGGCTTTTGGTGAAGAAAGAGATGTCTTAAATTTAAAGATGTTTTAGCAGGTAATCCCTGTCCAGTTGCCAAAAGCTTTCTTCATTCTGTTCTTTCAGTTTTGTGGAAAACAGAAAATAATGCATTGTAATTCCTAATCCAGGGGTATATCTTTGTGTAACCGGCACTCTTACAACTGGAAGGCATGTAAAACCCTTTTCGCTCATCTTTTTGTGGTTATGCAAGTGTATTTCTTCCCTTTTTCCTTTTAATTTCTACAATGCTGGTGGGTGGTACACAGTTGTGTAGTCACAAGTGAGTCATCTAGCCAGTGGACAGCATGTTTTACCCTTCTGTGCTGTTGTGGTTTTTCACTTGCTGCAAGTTCAGGCTCCAAGTTTTGACAAAACACAATTTAGAGAAGCAATTTCTCAATCTGCAATTTAGTGTTTTGTGCACTCTTGGAAACAAACACATATAAGCCCCTAATTTCTCTCTTGACCTTAGTACTAATCAGGTCTATTTTTAAAGTCTGTCCACACGTACACAATCAAGCAGCGGCAGCATCAGAAGACTTCCAGCCTCCTCAATGCCTCATTGCTGCATTTCTTGGCGATTATTCTACAATTTTAACTTTGTTAGTCTCTTTGAAAATCCCACCCCACATGTGCAGCATCCGTCTTGATTGCTATGCTAAATGTTGTTTACAGATGTTCTCAAATATGATTTTCATTATTGTTGAGCTCTTTTTTTCCTTTTTTCTTTCTATGTCTAATTTTGAATTTGCTCACATTCTCAGCAAACACTCACAGTTAATGCACATGCAGCTACAGTTGTTTGTATATGTAGGATTATTTTTAAACATAGCCAGGGAAGGATATACAGTTGGTGGTAAACACAGGGTTTGAAGGTGGAGTGCTGGTGTTCAATCTGTCCTGTTTGTTTACAGGAGCTTTCCCTGCTCTGTACAGGGTGGAAAGATAAATGATGGATTCAGACAATTTGAGGAAGAGAGTACTTCTCCTTTAATAGAAATACAGCCAGGGGTTCTTACTCAGAAGTACCAAATATTATAGTACAGCCAGTATTCAAATAACATTAGAGACTTTTTTGGCTTTGCCATAAACTGAGAGCATGTGGAAGTAAAAG